AGTAAGACAAGGGTGTATCCTTGAAGGAGGTATTCGAATCGGAGGGCGATTAGTCAACAATCTACGGTACGCCGACGACACCACAGGGATCACGGATAATCTAACAGATATGGGAACGATTATGGAAAGAATGAGAGTTAGCAGTGCTCAATTCGGGCTGCAAATTAATACCGAGAAAACGAAGGTGATGACCATCGGCTGTGAAGAAAGCGGAGATTCGGTCACGTTGAATGGGGTGCAGCTTGAGGAAGTGGATAGTCTCAACTACTTGGGAGCGTTCGTCAACCGAATTGGTGGCTGCGAAAAGGAAATAAGAAGTACTGACGGTGGAAGATGGACGGCGCGCCGCACGAATGAGAGTATAATCAATGAGATTGGGGTCCACACCACTGCTAGGTCGGATCGCGAATCGTATGTTGAAGTATTTTGGCCACATAATGAGGAGGGAGGGTGACAACCTGGAGAAGATCATACTGCAGGGAAAATTCGAAGGAAAACGAGGCAGAGCCAGGGAGAAGAGAAGATACGCCAACATCATCAAGGCACTGAGTGGATGTGGCAGCATGGTTGGAGCAATGAGATTAGCGGAAAATCGCAAGGCGTCTACGGTGATGCGTGCCAGCCGACGATGTGGGATCGAGTTTTTTTTATTCCTCCTACACCCCCTTACTCTGACAATACCCTTCTCTTTCAACAATGTCTCCAAAAACAAGTAAGTACAATTTAATTTCACAGTCGTTCCAATCGTACACGCCTTGTCACATTTACATCTGAGTCCCAAGTTCGTGCACTATTATATTGGAGTGGCCTGCCCTGTCCGACCATATCGACCCCTTCCTCGTCAATATCAGAAATGTTGGCGTTTTGACCACCCAGCCACAGTCGCTGCCCTCTATGTGCCAACCTGGTCATGGCCGTTCAAATTGCTCTGCTCAGTCACGCATGTGTACCAATTGTGGTGGCTCCCATAATGCATTTTATAGAAGTTTCCCTGTATACAAGCTCGAATCTAAGGTAGTTCTCAGATTCGAACTAGGCCTCATTCTACGTGAGGCCAGACAGGAAGCACGCCGACGAGGTTTTTCTTTCTCTACCTATTCTAAAACTGTCCTGTACTTCGCTTCCTCCCCATCTTACCAAGATGTCTCAACATCTCTCCCAGCATCTCTTCTCTCTACTACTTCTACTACCTATCTTCAATGAAATTCCTTTTTAAGCCTAAATTCAGACACTCTAATCTCTACCACTGCCTATCCCTCCTCACCCACCTTTTTTCTGCTCCTGGGACATCTATCCCTACTTCTCCTCTCAAGAAAACCTCAATTTCTCAGACCTCCCAACCTAACTCACCTCCAGAAACTCTGGAGTCCAAAACTTCCAAACCATGACCAGGAGAACACTCCACTCCCTCGTCCACCCTCCAGTCCCTCTATTCTTTTCTTTTCCTATTGCCGAATCCATCCTCGCCCTCCTCAGGTCCCCCCTACCCCTCTGCCTCCCATTCTCCCCCAAAACACCTTCCCCATTATCTTTGCCATTCCCACCTAGATGCTCACGTGACTCTTATGAACCAGTATCACTCCTTACCCGGGCTTCGCCCCCCGATCACTGTATTTTGAATACAGTGCTTATGGCCTTAAATGCTGACGGAACAGATTTTTTTTTTTCAATAAATAAACGATATAAAAAAATTGTCAATGAATGAGCTTGCATAAAAGGAAAGAAAAAAATATGCGAAGTAAATTTATTCTTGCAACTGACAGTCCTGTAACTGCAAAAAATCTGTAGGTAGGACGGCCCCTATAAAATACATTATGGAAACCACCACAATTGGCACATGTGCGTGATTGCGCAGGGCAGTTTGAATGATCATGCCCAGGTTGGGTACATAGAGGGCAGCGGATGGTAATGGTTAAAACAAATTAATGTGTTGGACATCAACGGTCATGTAGCACTATGATAAAGTATTGTGGCAAAAAAAGGTAAAAATGAGTTAACGATTAGTAGTTGGAGAAGCAGAATGCTAATCCAAGGAATGAGATAAGGGAACAGGGGAAGTGGTGAAGTATCAAGAAGAAAGCCAGGAGAGGAAGGATCCGGAGAAGGACACTATTGCGACAGAAGAGAGTCCCGTGAGCATGCAGGTGAGCGTAGTAATGATAATGGGGAAAGAAAAGGGGATGTTGCACATGGAGAAGGAGAGAATGGGATGTTTTGGGAGAGAGTGGGGGGGAGAGGGGTAGGGGAGCTTGAGGAGGAGGATGGATATCGGCAGTTACTTGGAATGTAGAGGGAATGGAAGTAAAGAGATTGGAGGGTGGATGAGAGATAAGAGCATTCTCTTGGGTCATATTTAGGAAATTTTGGATGTCTTCAAGAATTTCTTGAGGGGATAACTGAAAAACAAAGGTTTTATGGGGGAGGAGACATGCCCGAGGAGCAGAGGAAGAGGTGGTTGTTGGGGAAGATGGTATGGAACTCTTAGATTGCCTGTAGGAGCAGTTAAAGTGAGGAGGGGTAGGCACCGGGGACGTGGTAGAAATTGGAGTATCTGGTATTAGACTGAAAAAAAATATTACAGGTTATGGTGAGCCTGATATATATGGGGAAGAGAAAAGGTCTACCCCCATAACGGGGAAAGGCTGATTCACGCTGCCCCATCACGTCTCCGTTTTATCACGTCACGTCACCGTTCCGTCAACTGTGCCTTATATTCACACTGTTCACGTCCCGTATTATTACGTCTCGTCAGTAGCTGAGTTCAGATTCAAATTTCTCAGCGATTTATATCATTTAAAAAGGAAAGGAATGCTTTGATTCAGAAGGATATCACAGAATGAGGAATATTATCAGTGGTTCATAAAAAACAAAAGTTTTATCATCAAATATGAAAAGTGCAATAAATTTCTTATCTGGTTTGTTTAGTTCTATTATGTTCCATAGTTTGTCTTTGAATGAGTTGCCACTATCCTGTTTGACATGTCAGTTGACATTGACTAACAAGTTAAATAAACTTTTCATCCACGATGAAAAGGCACTTCCGGTTCCTGCGGCTGCTGGTCAGTGACTGACCGTTGAGGGGGTGTCGTTCACACCATTGGTATCATCCCGGCAATGGTACCACCACGTCAAAATATTCATGGAAAGAATCGGCGACGTGACGTTGATGAACAGTTTGGTGTGAACAGGTCCATTTGATTGCATGGAAGAAATTCTCTTGACGTGACGTAATGAATCGGCCTTAAGGGCTAGGCGATTAAGGGAATACCGTGCTCATGGCTCCCCAAGGCCGTTCAAGACTGACACAGCCAGACTTTCATTCTTTCAAGCACGGCTCCTATACCTTAGGAAGTGGATAGAAGGGACTGATAAGAGCAGGGAGAGGAAAGGGAGAGAAGAAAAGACCATGTAAAATTAGTTGAGCCAAGGGTTGAGGCCCAAGGTATGGATGATCTACATGGGCCTCAGTCCCCTATACCCCCCTCCCACACAATAAGACGGTCATGTGACTGTGTGGAGAGAATATCTGGAAGCTAAAAGAGGATTTGGATCATGTATACAGAAACCATTAATTTTCAAAGACCGCAGGTTGAACTCATTATCATCTTAATGGTTAATGGATTCAAAGCAAACAATATATATATAAGGTCATATAGCACTCTATAAAGGTGTGAAAGGTAGGGATTAGCAAAGGCGATTTGGTCAAAGTTGAAAAAGGATGTGTGGGATTTTGCAAAGATGTCCTTAGGGTAAGGAATTAGCGAAGGAGAAAGGGTCAAAAGGCCAATTAGAGCACAGATTCAGTGAGAATGTCAGGAGGGAGAGAATCGAGGGAAAGGGGTTGCTGTGAGAGGGTCACATCCAGGTGGGAACGGGAGGGATGGTGGGTCAGGAGGGAGGATGATGCGGCTAAAGTAGGGGATATGAGATTTGCAGGGAGGGAGGGGTGTGGGGGGAACAAGAGTTGGACGATGACGGATATCGGCAGTTGCTTTGTGTGTAGAAGGAATGGGAGCAGAGAGATTGGATAATGAATGAGGTGTAGGTAACTTATTTTGGGTCATGATTAGATAGTTTCGAATGTCTCCGAGAATTTCTGCAGTGGAGTCGGTTAGAGAGGTCTGAGGAACAAGTTTTCTTACGGAGGGAGAAGAGGGGACAGGTGTTTAAGGGTGGAGGGAGAGGTTGATGGAGAGGATGTAACTTTGACGAGACGGGAACGATCGGTGCGGCTGTGGAAGGAACTTTGCCTACTTGTCAAAGTAAGGTCCCATTTGGTGAGCTAATTATAATATTTAAGATATTTGTAGAGGTGGTAGTAGTGGGACAGGTGCGTGTGGAAGAGGGAGTAGTGTTGAGAGAAGTAGTATTGCAGTGGGGTGGACAATAAGGTTATAGAGTAGTAATAGGGGAGGACGGGGGAAGTGAAGAAGTAGAGAATGTGGGAGAGGAGGAGTCACCTGGAAGGTTGAGTATTGACCTACGTTGCTGATCTAATAGCAGGCACCGAGGGGATAGTAGTAGAAGTGTTTAGAGTCGTGGCCAAAGGAGAGCCTGGAGTCAGGGCACCGGGAATCTTAATCAGTGGGCCATTTGATGAAGGGCAAGCTAACTTGCCCCTAATAATGGTATCAAGTCTTCATTACTGGCCATGGTAAGCCATGGTAAGAGTCCATCCCTTAGGCTCCCCTTGAGGGGTAAATGCTAGACAACAGAATAGGGGACTACCATGCCCATGGCTCCCCTAGGAGCAAAGTCAGCCTTTCATCCTTTCAACATGGCTCTCTCACCCTAGTAAATAGATAGTTGATGGGGTTGGAGAAGAGAGTAGATAACAAAAAGGAGGAGGGAAAAAGACCATGCAAAATTAGTTGAGTCAAACAAGGGTGATCCCTAGCATTGGGTCCCAGCCTCTGTCTCATAAGCCCCCACCCCCCTCCCATGCCAACAATGGATATGGGACTGGGGTATACATCTAAAAGGTTAAATCATAACAGTAGTATTCTCAAGTTTTATTTTGTTAATATCAACATTTATAACTTCTTTTTTTTTGCTGTCTTTATTTACAGTCAAGTCACTGACTTTAAATTATTTTAAATTTCTGTACAATTATGAAATAAAAGTAAAAATAACTGTGAGAAAAATAAGTATTTTGGAGTGCATCTGTACAAGGACCAATAAAAACGTTTAATCTGTCAACAAACCGATTGAGATAATGAAACAAACAACCAAAGCAGTACCAGTGGCTGCCATCACACACATACACTTTTTAAAAACTAATAACACTAGATAACTTTTTTTTTCTTTGTGCTTGATGAATATAAATGCAACTATGAGGTATCACGGCTAAATTCCAACATACATGAATTCTGTTTGGATGCAAAACTGTAACTGATCAGGTAATATGTAGAGGTTATATTTTTTTCAAAGTTAACATGAAAATGGAGTGTACAAAAACAGCCACATAGTACCCTCCCGAAAATGTTTTGATATGTACTTTGGCAAAGATAAGAAAAATGACGAGAAGTAAGCACTCTCATTGGTCCTCCTGTGCGGTGGATGTCATGATGAATGGCACATGATGATGATGTCCTTCCACAGTACGTTTTACACACTAAAAGAGGTTTTTTTAAGTCAATGTCCCAGTAAGCGTTGCACCATTACAAAAATATAATGCCACAGCTTCCATGGTCAGGATATCCCAGTGCTTTCAGAAACCACTGTCCTGTGGTTAACTGCTATTTTATCATTACTTCACATGTGGCAGCTTCCTTTAATATCAGAGACTGATAGGGAAGACAAGTAGTTCATTTACAAAAAAAAAAAAAAAAAAAAAAAAATCAACATCATAGCTATGAAACAATATTCTCCGAGAGTTTTAGAGAGAAATTCCCCTTGGACTTGGATTTAAAACCAAGTCGAACAGCTGAATAGATTAACGGATAACAGTATACAAAATAACAACAATGGTACAACTGATGAAGTCACAAAAGGGTACCATGAGAATCCTTTAAAGATTATCACCAGGTACATCTCAGGAGAAATGACGACAGCCATAATAAAGTTTGAATCCTGGGCCTCATGGGAACGTCCTATGGTTCTTTTTATGTGAGGATCTCCAGACCTCTTTTGCACATAACAGCATCATTCAATCCCATCTCTGGACACTCCTATTTCAAGTCAGATCAACCACCACCAACCAATATTCTTTCCCAATATTTTTGGGTGAACATTTTCTTTTTCAGGCATGAATAAATGACCACATGCCTCTACAAGCTCTCTAAAATAAAGAAAAGAAAAAAGTATTGATAACAATCATATATACTTAATATCTGTGTATGTCACCATTCTTCCACAAACTATCAAATTCACTACAAATGACTGAAGTTCCAACACTCATTTTTCTTCCTGTTACATCATGGCTAGGAAATGGCCAATAAACTCTCTATAAATTTTCTCTAGATTTAAACATTTACATTAACTATTCACAATTCAGTACTTTTTTATATTACATCAGACCACATCACATCTACATTATCTAACTTGCACTTCATCTACTCCTAGAATTAAGTATTGTTTTGTATTGCATCATTCCATATAACCTTTAATTGTTGGGGATAACGAGCACAAGTCCTCTCCCATGTCAGAACCCAGAACTTATAAAGGATTCTCAGCTGATAGAATTTGAAAGAGCTCATTCCCATCAAATGCATCCTCCTATTCTAACCTGCTCCCTATCTTACCCTCTGTAAATTTGACAAACTGATCTAGCCATTTGTGTGTTGGAAAGGAAGTCAGAGGAGTTCCCTCTCTCAACTCTCGACTCTTAGTCAAGCCCATACAGCATCCAAACAAAACTCGTAAAAATACTCGTTAGATACTGGCAACATAGGACACAGCCCAGGTTGTGTTGCTTCCTGTGCTTATGCAACACGTGATGTTAAGTTTGTGATATCTACTGAAATAGGTGAAAATCTTGAATTTTTCTGAACAAGGAATTTTCCTACTTTTCCTACATCCATTCCTACAAGCTTTAAAAGGCATTTTATTTATTTTTTTTTTTCTCCACTTCAGGAGTGGGGAGGGCATTGAATTATGGCCCCTTATAAATATCTGCACACATAAATGGAGTAGAATGCAGTATTTTCATAATAAAAAAGCTCAATTATAACTAAAAATAAATAAAAATAAATCACTGTCATGTTTCATCCACAAAATTTCAGATATCTACTCTAGAAATAAATTCATAAAAAAAGGTTAATGATAGAAAGCAAAAGAACAAATCTACATGAATACAATCCACTACACTGCAACTACACCACCAGTGGGGTCCCTTAAAGGCCTCCTCCCTTGGCTGAGGAATCTCCTAATACATGCTTCTTGTAGACGAGATTCATCTGCTCGAGGAAGATGAAAGTGAGGACGGTGTGGGGTCCTAAACGCATATAGTATGGTGTGAAACCTTTCCAGAGTGAGAAGAAGCCCTCGTTCCGAATCACCTTGCCGAGAACATCCAGAGCACCCTTGTATTCTGGCTTGCCATCAATTATTTTCATGTTCTGGATTCTGTGGAAGGAAGAGGCAGAACAAAAGATCACATTATTTATGAATGATATGAATGTTTAACTCATTCGTGCCGGGTGTCACGTATACGTTACATGCCCACTGTGAGTTTACTTGTTTAATTGTTTTAACACGGTAGTTACTTGTGTTTTTCTACATATACAGTAATCTCATTGGTTTGAGAGCCAAGCAGTAGATAACATTCTAAGTCACCCCCACCCCACCCCAGATCATTCTTATATGGTCACTGGAACTAGGGAAAACAATGTTGGATTTTTGTACTCGTTTTAAAATATGTATTCCCAATAAAAATTATAAATGGCCTGTAACCCCCCCCCCCCCCCGCCCATGATTACCATAAATATACACCGAAATAGAGAAATCCAGCAGTACAAAAGCCCGGACAAAAGGTCTTAACCCATTGCCGTCGGGGATGGCATGTACGTACATGCCATGCCCACTGTGAGTTTACTTGTTTAATTGTTTTAACACATAGATGGCCACACTTGTACTTGTACTATCTGTCTCACCTGTTTACCCTTTTCTTTAATTTACAAAAATATTTAACATTATCCTAATTTGCTGTTAAAAATAACACCATCTATATTTATAGCAATAGTAAGAATATGTTTTTACGGTAATTCAAGGAAAGGTGAAATCAGGTAAACCAGAGCCATCTAGTGTAGAGAAATTTCACAAAAAAATATAAATAAGCACAGTATTTTCCCCATTTTTTTTTCATTTTTACCCGTCACAAATGAGTTAATATTAAATGCCCTATCAGGTAGGATCACTAGCAGCTCATCACTTGAAAATAAAGACAGGACCTGATATGTTATATGAAGTTTTTGGTAGTTACTTGTGTTTTTCTACATATACAGTAATCTCATTGGTTTGAGAGCCAAGCAGTAGATAACATTCTAAGTCACCCCCACCCCACCCCAGATCATTCTTATATGGTCACTGGAACTAGGGAAAACAATGTTGGATTTTTGCCTCCCATTAAACTGTCTTCTTTGTCCTATAACATTATAGTAATCTTAATGTGTATAATAAAAATAACCATCGATATTCATAGCACTAGTAAAAATACATATTCCCGGTAATTCAAGGAAAGGTGAAATCAGGTAAACCAGAGCCATCTAGTGTAGAGAAATTTCACAAAAAAATATAAATAAGCACAGTATTTTCCCCATTTTTTTTTTCATTTTTACCCGTCACAAATGGGTTAATATTAAATGCCCTATCAGCTAGGGTCACTAGCAGCTCATCACTTGAAAATAAAGACAGGACCTGATATGTGATATGAAGTTTTTGGTAGTTACTTGTGTTTTTCTACATATACAGTAATCTCATTGGTTGGATTTTTGTACTCGTTTTAAAATATGTATTCCCAATAAAAATTATAAATGGCCTGTAACCCCCCCCCCCGCCCATGATTACCATAAATATACACCGAAATAGAGAAATCCAGCAGTACAAAAGCCCGGACAAAAGGTCTTAACCCATTGCCGTCGGGGATGGCATGTACGTACATGCCATGCCCACTGTGAGTCGACTTGTTTGATTGTTTTAACACATAGATGGCTACATTTGTACTAAGTCACCAGTGAGCCAATTACGAGTACTGCCTGTCTTGCCCATTCACCCTTTTCATCGATTTACAAAAATATTTAACATTATCCTAATTTGCTGTTAAAAATAACACCATCTATATTTATAGCAATAGTAAGAATATGTTTTTTCCCTCCAATTCAAGGAAAGGTGAAATCAGGACTAGCAGAGCCATCTATGTACAGAGATATTTCACAAAAATATAAAAAATGAGTATAGCATTTTCCCCATTTTTTATTAATTTTTCCTGGCAGCAATGGGTTAATACAGTTGTTGAATCTATGTTATGCTAACGCAACATCTTCAGTTTCACATGAACAATCAATAACTATAACATAAACAATACATCAAGTCATCCTCCACAGTGCAGTCTCTTCCTCATTCCCATTCCCACTCCCAGCTCACCTGGTTTTGGCAATGTCGACAGGCATGGAGGCAGCCGTTGTGACGAGACCAGAGATCATGGAGGCACAGAAGTGGAGGAAGATGTTCTCTCGGAAGTAACCTATCAAAAAAAGGGCAAATGTCTTTTGTATGAGGACTTATATATTTACTCAGCCATCATTCTTTTTTTTTATAATAATCAGTTTTATTTCATTACAAAATATATTCTAGTTATACATTGCTAATTAACACTAACACAATTTGGTTTGTGCAATATTGTCTATCTTCTACTGAATTGCTTAACAATATGAAATGGTTAAGTACTCTAATTTCATATGGGTATTGGTATGGTATATCTGTCAATGTAAGTAAGTGACTGACTGTGCATGTTTGTGTGTCTGTGTGTGTACCTTTTGTTCATGTGCATATGAATAAATGTGCTCCACTCTCATCCTCACACACCTGTCCCCAAAAGAGCCTGCTTTGCCTGTGAGTATGATGCTAGCTGAGCTGCATTCACAACCATGGCCCTGCCCATGGTAGGAATAGCTCCTCTCCATAGGGTGAACACGCCTTCCTCTCGCGCCATTCTCAGTAGTGCATCAAACACATTCTTGTAGTTGCGCCTCTCAGCCAGGGGTAGTCTGCCATCTGAGGTCATGCGAATGAGGGACACCTAGAAGGCAGTTGCAAGGTTGTGAGAGACAGACAACAATTACTTTATGGCTATTAAACTGATCTATTACTAAATGTAAGCTTTAATGAATTAAATATTTTCTTAAATATTAATTCACTAAAGTGGAGTACCATTTACCTCTGAATGAACCCTAGAGTTATCCAAAGATAAAATCTGATTCATTCTGTTAAAACATTAATGCACTTGAGAGAATCATATAATAAAAGGTGGAGGAATTTACACCTCAGAAAGTAAGAAAATCAACAAAATCATGAAGTTACAGATTTAGAAAACAAAAATGGGCCTTCAAAAATTAACACATTTGGAAGCAGATGAGAATAACATAGTGAAATAACGGACTAATTACTACATGATACATCGGGTGGGAGTATCATACCCCAATATAAGAATGTCAACTGTCATTTACAATTGTCATATTCATGACTGCTCTCAAAACCTTGGATCAAACAAGAACGCTAAGAGTTAATAACATCAGCAAATACTATATTTCATTATTAATAAATCAGCAAGGATTGCTTATTTCCTATTTTCTGACTCATGACAACACTCCTACTCAGGGTTTTAATTTATCTATCCTTAATCTAATTGAAGGATGCCAATTTCATTCTTCCTAAAGGCTGAATAGAAGTCAAAATTTTACCACTGGTGGATGATAAACTTAAAATCTCACCAAAACAAACAAAAACAAAAACAAAAACACACACAAAATATATAATGACCTTAGATGTTGATGTGGCAGATATTTTTAAATAAATGAATAACAGATGATTTTCAATATATATAGATACATAGATAGGCTTACATATATGAAGGCATGTGCATCCAATTACTTGAAATTCCATTTATTAAATGTTTTGTTAAGTTAAGTTTTCATCTATAACACAAGCATTGATATATTCATGGGCAATGCAATTCAGACACTATATCTAACAATAGTTGTGCATTAATGTGGATATATCAAAGCTTATGGTATAGACAAAATTTTAAATTAAAAAAAACATGTATCAAGTGCAATTTCATGCCTTTGGTCCAAGAATATGTTTGAATGCACATACACTCATATATGGTTATGCATACATATTAAGAAAATAAGTTCTTGGTGTGTGTGTGTGTGTGTGTGTGTGTGTGTGTGTGTGTGTGTGTGTGTGTGTGTGTGTGTGTGTGTGTGTGTGTGTGTGTGTGTGTGTGTGTGATTAATATATAGTAATTACTGTCATTTCTGAAATTTGTAAAGATACATCACAAAAGCTATGGGAGAGGTTTCAGGCAGTACAGAGCACCCTAAGTAGTGTAACATTAGTAGAAAAATCAATTATCTACATAATATAGTAAAATATGAGGTGTGTAATATATTTTAAATAGCATTTAAATATTTTTCTGATATAATGCTCATGCTCATGTTCATACGAGTGTATTCTAAATTATCATTTTGTGGGGGCTTGATGCAGGCTGCTCCTAGCTGTCCAGCATTTGTTCCAATACTATGAGCTGGCCCCGTGGAGCAAACAACACCCACAAAACTCTAATAATATGGAAATGAGTGGGGGGAGCTGGATCTAGGATAGTCTCCCCTCCCCATCCAGTTAATTTTCTGTAAATTTCCTTCAGTGAAGGTTTATCATATGATTATCAATGAAACTATGTTTATTTCTCCTTCAATTGCTGTTTGCTGTGTGAAGGCAAACAGATTGTTTCACCAGTTATTACAAAAACAAAAGTAATTCCCTAGACAAGTAGCTAAATCTTGATTTTGAGTCGTACACAAATGCAGTTATTGCTTGTTTCTGTGTGTTTATATGTATGTGCATGTCTTTATCATAGTATATATGCAAGTGTCCAAGTTGTTTTAGCAGATTTTACTCCGTTTTGGTATCTTTTTAATTTGTACCTTTAATGTTTTGCTGCCTGCCTTAGCATTTTTCTTAGGTTCACTTTAAAATTTCATTTTTACTGTTTTATTTTACTTTTATTGTGTTCTAAGCAGTTTTACTTGTTCATATGTTTTCTTGTATACCAGGTTTTACCTTTTCAGCTTCGGTGAATTTTAGATTTCCTGGCCAGTACCCCAAATTGATATTTTTCAACATTTCATTTTTGTACTGTTATCTTTTACCCTTTGTGCCCTTGCATTATTCTATTACCAGTGCTCAGGATATGCTGCCAGCCATGCCTCACAGCAAGATGTCACAGCCAGGGTCACGATCACCGACCCCAGAGGATGCAGGCCCCCAGGTCGAATTACCCCCTGGGTCAGACCCAAGGTTTGCACCTGCTCATAGTGCTATGGCCTCGGGAGGGGCACTGTCTGATTCTGGGACTGCTGCGGCTGGTAGCCTAGAGATGCAGCAAAGGCAACTGGCCCAATTGGAAGCACGGCTTATGGACTGGTTGGGAGTGCAGGTGGGGGACCAGCTGGCCCGCATGCAGGCGCAGATGCAGATGCAGGCACAGATCCAGGCATTGGCAACTCTCCTGAAAGGCCAACAGCCCATGCCTTCCACTGCATCTAAGGGGATTTTGCCAGCCACTGACGCTATGACGCCGTAGATGGTAGGAAATAGGCAACGCTCCTGGTGTGAATATCATCAAATGGAGGGCCATCACACCAACGATTGACGGGCAAGGAAAGGTTGGTGCTATAGCTGTGGTGAGAGGGGCCACCTTAGAGCTACGTGTCCCTTTAGCCAACACTGCTCAGGAGGAGCCTCCCGGCTTGCAGGCAGCCATGCCAGTGCACCGGGAACTGACCACCCAGCCGAAACCGAGGTTCATAGGACGGCCCATGATAGTCCTCAAGGTGGGAGGTAGGCCGTTCTCTTGTTTTTTGGACATAGGGTCAGACCCACACCTGAAGCCACGCAAGATTCGTCCAGGAACTGTGCTGGGATACGCTTCCTTCCTGGGACCAGAGGATTTGGTAACCACAGCCCCAACCTCCTCAGTGACTCCTGACACCCCTGACTGTGAAACCCCTGCAGAATCCTGGATGGCCACAGCCACTCCTGAACAGTCCGAAGAGTTACCAGGGGGGGGTGAATTTGTGCACTGTGGTGAATTCCTAGATGATGACTACGATAGCACTGCAGCGTGTCTGGACTTTGGGTATGAGGAGGACGACTTCTTAATATTCCCAGACACGCACACCCTTGATGAAGCTTGCCAGCGTGACGAGTTGGGGGCTGCCTGTGCTGTTGAAGGCTTGGGCACTAGTGGCACTGAGGTAGCTGGTACTCCCCTTCCCATAGCCCTCGGGCATCTGACCGCAGACCAGGAGGGGAAGCTACGCGAAGTCTTAAACCAGTTCCCAACTCTGTTCTCCAGAGACAAGCAGGCAATGGGTCACGTACCAAGGGTGCAGCATCGCATCATCACGACAGACACTCCAGTTTGTGACACTCCAGGTACTTCCCCAATATGCATCGCCGGGTGAGGGAGTACTTGGCTAGCTGCCATGTATGTCAGCAGCGCAAGGGTGTGGCAGGACGCGCCGATGGAAGGACATCCGCTGGCAGGGGCAGCTGACCTTATGGACCTGCAGGGGTCAGCAACTGGGTTCTGATATGTGCTTTCTATCGTGGACCACCACGCGCGGTTCATACAACTGGTCCCACTGCGTGATAAAAGAGCTAGCAGAGTACTACAGGCTTTTGTTGACCACTATGTGACTCTGTTTGGGCCACCTGACCATCTCCACACTGACAATGGCCTGGAATTCTCCTCTGACGGGTGGCGCTCACTTCTGGAGGCCCTACAAGTACAACACTCTTTCACAGTGGCTTATCACCCCCAGTCCAATGAGGTGATGGAGCGCGCCAATCAGACAGTGAAGGACGCGCTGGCGGCACTGGCTCAGCAGGCTCCCTCACAGTGGCCCACTCATCTGCCTGCTGTACGCCTTGCCCTGAACTTGGCCATCCACTATGCCGTAGGGGACCCGCCATTGTACTTGCTGCTGGGTCATATGGCGCTCTTTGGGAAGGGCCTGACTAATCGGCAGACTGTGGACCTGATACTGGGGTGTCATGCAGATGCTCGCCGGTTAGCTGTCGAAGTGAGCCAGAATAAGACCAATAAGGCCCAGTACCTCAGTACCATGTACCTCAGGACCATACAAGGAGGGCACCCTAGTCCTGCATAAGGTCCCAGGGAATCATGGCCCCTTGGGTGACCGGTGGTTTGGTCCCTGCCGTGTACAGAAGCGGTTGGGCCCTGTTAGTTATGATGTTTTGGACCTGCGACCACCACATCATGTTGTCAGGGTCCATGCCAACCAGATATGCCCCTATATCCCAGCGGCTGAAGTAGACTACCTCCAGGAAGCTGACCAAGTATAGTCCATGTACTGTCTTGAAAATATTCTGAACCATGGGGGTCTGGACGATCAGATCAGACTATAGTGTTTTTTATAAAGTTCCTGAGCATTGTGTTGTGATATTTTTTTTTTACATTTGTGATATTTTAACTAGTCTTTTGTATTTTAATACTTTTTGGATTTTTACATTTGTATGTGTTCTGATTTGTATTACTTTTATATATATCTGTATATGGTGCTATTGGGTACTGGCACTCCCGGAGGTGTGGCATTTTCCGTTCCGGGGGAGGGGCTGTAGTTCGCATATGCGAACAGGTAATGGTGATGTTACCGAGATAGGTGGCAACCACTTCGCCGAGTGGGCGGTGTAGTCGCCACCGGCAGGCAGTCGGCGGGTAACCTCGGTCGTGAAAGGGTGTGAGTGTGGGCTGAGGGAGACTCTTGTGTTTCTATAATTATTGGTGCTTTTGTATGTTTTCTGTGCTGTATACCGTGCACTTTATTTATATTGAACTCGGCAGTGATTTTGTACACCATATGGCAGAAAATAAAGCAGTCGAAGACGGATACTGGTGTGTCTCTACTCTTGCAGAACTTGGAGGTTAATTTAAAAGTTTTCGTAATCATTTAATAAAACCTCTGCTGTTCCAAAAGTCTAAGCTGGCGTCAACTATCCCAAGCCTATCCGAGTAGGTGTTGGCCCACGTGGTTCCCTGCCTTACGTACAAAAATTATTTGTTTTGTTTAACTTTTTGGGATAAAGGCTCACCACCATTCTTGTATTATTACTGAACTCTTAGTTAAACTATGATGCTTATGTCAAAATCAAATCATAGCTAACATGCTTTTTATGAAAGAATGTTGAAAAATGATGTGATTATTACTATTATTAACATATATATATTTTTTTTTATACAATCCCTCACGTTGGGATAAATCTATTATCACAAAACAATTCTGTCTTCCCATGAATCATTTAAGTAGGTAATGTCAAAATAAAATGTTTCATATTCACACTACCATTGATATACATAAAAGAAAAAAATGCTGACTCAGCACTACCCTAACCTGGAGTTACTCTTGCTTCACTGCCTAGTTTTGTCTGGGGGGTTTACAACTGCACAGGTAACCCAACATCTGTATAAGAGTCCAAAACTGGGTGCGATTAATTTACAATCTTTGTAACCCAAACCCGCCACCTTTTAAATTTCTGGCTACACAAAGTGGCAAATCAAATACAGGAAATATCTCCTTCACACTCATTCTCACAAGAATTGCATTACAATTACAAAGTCTAAATGCCTGGCCATTAGACATTACACTATATACAATCTATAATTAAATCTATAACATCATATCTTATAATCTAATCTATACTATGAAGAGATATTAGCATTCTAAAATCATTGTACTCAGGCAGCCTAAACCACTGAGCTGTCCAAGGTACAGGCTCACAACACTTGAGTTTTAGTTTGGAGATTTCTGTCCTTTTCCAAGCATCCCTGTTCCAAGTGGCTATATTTACAAAGCTAAGATAATATAAGAGCCTACTTTAGAAGGCCATACTTCTGCATGAAGATGCACAGTGCATCAATTCGTCACATGCTTTAATTGAATCCCCAAAAAGAATAAAAAATAATTTTGATACCCAGGGTCAGGCAAAAAAATAATAATAATAATAAAATAAATAAATCATGAATTGGAACCCAAGTGCAAGTCAAGCAGATTGAGCAACAGAAAGAGAAAGGGATATACATCAAATCCCCCAGGTACTTCTTCCTTGCCCCTTCCTTTCCTTTTTAATACTAACATGTAAACTGTTACATCAACTTTACATATAAAGAGCTCCTTTTTTTCTAATGAAATTTATGAGAATTTACTAAATAAGTATACCATAACTTACACATAAATAAGACAATTAATACAAACTTGGGAAAAAATAAAGGGAGAGAACAACTCATACCTCAGCAGGAGTGCCAACGAAGGCCCCAGCTACACCTGCTGTCATGCCTAAGACTGCCTTGACTAAGAAGTTTGGGGGTTCACCACTGGGTCTGGAAAGAGGGCAAAAGATGAAGTGAAAAAGAGTTACATACAAATTCCGTAAAAAGAAAAAAAATGGTATTAAATACATAATGGATTAAATATCAAATCTCAGATTTTTGTTTGATGCAAAATTTTGTGGATTTTGCGGTTTTCTTCTTACTATGGTTGTGTTCTGATATGAATGAATGTTTCTGTTTTTGCCTAGATTTTAGGAGTAATTATCTATGAGAATGGCTAGCTGTAGAAACATGGTTTGAAAAATACTAGAAGAACACTAAGATGGCTGAGATACAATAAAAAATATATACCAAAGGGTAAAGCAAGTCATCATGAAGTAGTCAGAAGAAACTAAAATCCAACAAGTCATGGTAAAGTTATAATCTTTCTCTTACAACTTATTTTGTAACTCCCCATACTCTTTCTAATACATAATGACATTCACATACATTCATATTTATTAGACAAATTTATATACACACAATTATCTAAGTAAAAAAAAAATTGAAAAGAGAATGAAGTTCCTTATAATCATTGTTTTCTTCTCATTTTATACCATCTATCTATCTATAACATTAACATAGTATATCTATCTATAAATATATACAATACATAACAGGTAAATAGAAAATAGAATCTAAAATCTTTAAAAGGAATAATAAAGGAAAAAAGAAATCACTTACCCTGAGGCTTTCTCAAAGAGCCATGTGTAGATGCCAAGGCGTGTGGTAGTGTAGGTGGCTTGGCGCAGAAGGCCAGCCGAGAGGCCAGAGTAAAGCGCTGTGAAGCCTTCACTCTTTATGACATGTCGTATAACATGGTAGCTGGTCTTGTGCTCTTTGCTTGTCGCGACCTGCATTCTGTTCTTGACCAGATCCAGGGGCTGCACGAAGCAGGTTGCGCCCATCCTGCAAGGAGAGAAAAGCAACTTATTCCAGAAACAAGTATTTGGCATCTAATTCTCATATACATGTCATATGTTCCCTCATAATTATCGCAGTTATAATCATATTCTTTATTTACTAATTATTATGTAACGAGTCCTGTATTCCTTATATAATGTATGTGTACATAGGCCTTAGGTAAATAAATCAGTTGCTTCTCAGAATATATATATACAACTGAGCTGAGCTCTGTATTCCATTCACCTTTCCCCTTCTAACTGAGTAATAAAGAAACAAGTAAGACAGTGGCACCTGTACTCAAAATTGGAAAGAGGTAATAGCATCCAGGAGATAACAAAATATGGACAGTAAAAAAACATGATGCAATTAAATCAAAACAAATAAGACTGAAACGAAGTATGCAGGTCACTGAACATTTTGCTTCTTAGCTTCTATTTACCCAACGTACCTGAATTTTGTGAATCATAGTTAATTGCCCTGACACTTACACTGCCAACAAGCAATTTGATGGTTCCACAAGCCCTTGGTCATCAAGGATTCAATTAGTAGACCTAAATGACCTTGCATGATTCTCATTCTTTGTCTCCCCCCTCCCCCTTGTATTAGGATCAGTATTAATATGATTTTTATTGTCATTATGATTATTCTATTATAAACAATACTAAAAGCAATAAAAAATAAAACAAGTTTTTTATGAATTAAAGAAAAGGATAAAAAGGTGAGATCAAGTACAACTAGAAACTATCTCTTTGGTACCTAAACATTACTGAACTAAAATCATAGTGGACATGGCATGTATATTATGTCATCCCCGGATCAGTAAGTTCATTATAAATTTTGAGAAAGAAATAGAGTGATCTTGAGCCACTATCTTTAAAATGCAAAGGCAATACACTATCTAATCTTCCTGAACCCAATGCTTGATTCTATCAAGGAATGGATAAGAGATTATCACTATCCCTCAAATACACTATCACAAACACTTGGAAGCTATTTGTACAAGCAACATCTTCAGCATCATAAACAGGTCTGTGAAGTTATCTTTGTATTCTGTGTAAAATTAATACCTAATAGAAGTTTTCTTCTATAGGAGAGAACACTGGTAATTTGAAAAAAGGACATTCAGCAAGCACCGTTACTAATTTTAAAAATCCAAAAGGATCACAAATGGTTCTTGAAAACTCTAAAAATACATTTGCAAAATTTCTCAACTTTTACTTCAACATATAAATCAATCTACATTATGAAATCAGATGTAAACAGATATTCATAGGGAGAATAAATAGACTTCACAATAATCAGACACAAAGCAGATGACTAACATGCAAAGTACAAAATATTTGGGGAAATTAAACAAAACTTACAGACACAAATGAAGTATGTGCTATAGAGTATAAGTAACTGCAGCTATCTATAGCCTAACAGAAATGCAGGATAGCATTTTTTGTATTACTAATTTTTCACACTTGACTAATAGTGTACTAGCCTCACTACCAGCAATATATATTTGGAAATTAACACTTTACTTAACCAAATGTTCAAAAGGAAGCATAAAAAAATCCTAACAACATTAGCTACTACTACAAAGATAATTCTATATAGTGGTAGCTAATATTAGATAATTCTAATGTAAAAATAGATTCAAAGAATTCTCCTGATAATCATAATTAAGTTTTCTCTAACAAACGTGTACATATATGTATACAGATGAAAAAAACAGCAACACCTCCCAAGCCAATAAAATCAACAATTCTAAATCTTATAATCAACGAGAAAGTTCTAGGAAGTAACTGCTTTGTAGCATGTAACTTTAACCATGGGCATTCAACAAGAAGGGTTAAAAATAATGCAACTTTTATTTTCAAAATGC